ACTCACCTCGAACCGGCAAAATCTCTAGCTCGCAACGCCTTTGCCCCTCAAATCAGCGTCACGCGCGTCGAATCTATCCAAAATCAGAGCGAATACATCACAATATGCTAAGGGAACAAAGCCCAAGCGAAAACAATCAATTACGGGCACAAATCCCGAAATTACCAAAACCCGAGGCCCGATCCCACTTCTCAAAACTCAGAAATTTTTACATCAATAGGTTGCTCATCTCGCCACGAGTCTATGCATATAAAGAACACTATAATCGGAGTCCAAATGACCCCTCAAATCCCAATTTAAAATCTCAAAATCCCAAGCCCTAGTTCTTCCAATTTTAGGCTTAATTTTCATAAATTTCTAGGTGGATTTCACCATAAAAACGAGTACTGAGTGTAAAAATCTTACCTCCAGGTATTATCTCTTGAATCCCTTTTCAATTCCCGTCCAAAAGCTCTCAAGGATGCTCAAAAATGATGGAAAAATATCTTAGCTCGCAGAACAAAAAATGGAACTTAAAACCCTTCTACCCAGCACCTTACCGCATCCGCGGTACATTTTCCGCTCTTGTGACATCCGCTTCTGCAGAAATCCTCCACTTCTGCGGAGTTTCATTAATTGCCCAGGACCGCTTCTGCGGTCACTATCCGCATCCGCGAACTCTGCTCCTGCGGAAAGCCATCCGCTTCTGCAGAATTTCTCACATGTCCATAATCCGCATCTGCGATGCCATCACCGCATCTGCGATATCGCAGATGCGGCTCCTACCCCGTATCTGCGAAAACTAGCCTTCCCAGCAAAACTCGCACCTGCGACCCCTTACCCGCATCTGCGAGACCGCATCTGCGGTCCTTATTCCGCAGATGCGGAAATACCAGAACCAGCAATTCCTGAAACAACACAAGTCCAAAATTCATCCCGATAGCCATCCAAAATCACCCCGAGGCCCCCGGGACCTCTACCAAAAGTGCCAACCCATCCTAAAACATCATTCAAACTTGCTCCAATCATCAAAACTCCTCAAACAACACTAAAATCATCGATTCTCATCGAATTCAAGACTAAGTTCTTCAAAAACTTCCGAAATACACTTTCGATCAAAAATCCGACCAAACGACGTTCGAATGACCTGAAATTTTAAACACACATCACAAATCACATAACGAAACAACAAAAACTCTCGGAATTCCATTCCGACCCTCGGATCAAAATCTCACCAATCAACCGGAATTCGCCAAAATACTAACTTCACCAAAACAAGCTAATTTCTACACCGAACTTCCAAAACCAATTCCGATCACGCTCCTAAGTCACAAATCATCTAACGAAGCTGACCAAATCATAGAAACTCCGATCCAAGATCATATACTAATAAGTCAACTCTTGGTCAAATCTTTTAAATTCAAAGCTTTTAACTGAGACTGTTCTTTCAAATTCATTTCGATTTTCCTGAAAACCAAAACCAACGATCTGCATCAATCATAATACATAACACGGGGCAAGTCATGCCCGAGAACTGGAGATCAAAGTGCAAAAGCTCAAAATGACCGGTCGGGTCGTTACACAGATGCTGCAAACTTTGGTTTTCAATATAAATCTCACACGGCACATTGTACAAATAATGACGCCAAACCTTCAAGGCGTGAACAATAGCAGCTAACTCAAGGTCGTGGACATGATAATTCTTCCCATGTACCTTCAACTATCTGGACGTGTAGGCAATCACCCTACCATTCTGCATCAATACCGTTCCAAGGCCAATCCTCAAGGCATCACAATAGAAAGTATAAGACCTTGAACTTGTAAGCAATACCAAAACTGGGGTTGTAGTCAGAGATGTCATGAGCTTCTGAAAGCTTGCCTCACACTCTTCCGTCCATTGGAACGGAGCACCCTTCTGGGTCAATCTAGTCATAGGGGCTCAATCGATGAAAATCCCTCCACAAAATGTCAGTAGAAATCTGCCGAGCCAAGGAAACTGCGGTCTCTGTAGCTGAGGATGGTTTGGGCCAACCCTGCACAGCCTTTATTTTCTTCGGATCCACCTGAATACCCTCACCAGGTGGCCTAATAATGCCACTGAATCCAACCAAGACTCACATTTTGAGAACTTAGCATATAACTTCTTCGCTCTCAGAGTCTAAAGCACAGTCTTCAGATGCCGCTCATGATCTTTCCGACAATGACAAATGAGTCAAGATATGGCTGGAATACACTATGCACCAAATGCATAAAGGTTTTTGGGGCATTGGTTAGCCCATATGACATAACAAGGAACTCGTAATGACATAACAAGGAACTCGTAATGACCATACCAAGTCCTGGAAGTAGTCTTTGGGATATCTGGCTCCCGAATCTTCAACTGATGGTAACCTGAGCGCAAGTCAATCTTAGAAAACACTTGTGCGCCCTGAAGCTGGTCAAACATATCATTAGTACGAGGCAAATGATATTGGTTCTTCACTGTAACATTGTTTTGGCTATAATCAATACACAATACACAAAACCATCATTTTTTTTCTTCACAAACAAGGCAGGAGCACCCCAAAGTGATACACCTGGCCGAATAAAACCTTTATCAGGAAAAATTCCTATAACTGATCCTTCAACTTAACTGAAGGTCTCTCCTCATCCTTAGGACATGACCCAAACTTCAACATCTGACATTCGTCATAGGACCCAAATACCACATCATCACACCGCATTAGTCTTATTTCAACACACTTCAACTTTTAATAGCGCTTAAATACTTCGAAATTATTTATCCGGGATGTTACATTCTCCCCCACTTAGGGTCATCCATCCTCAAATACACAATGTATCTTTCTCTTTCTTCGCACATCTTAATGTCTCAAGTTATTTTCTAACTCCCAAATTTTTCAGAAATTTTGCCAGAGCCTCCCCTGTAATTGGGTCTATCCACCTGCTAGAGTAACACCAAAACAACTCCTAACAACACATCCACAACCCAATGAAACACCACAATGTATATATCAATAACACTAATCTCAGCATTACAAGCATCGCATTATCATACAGATATCTGGACATGAAATATATCATCTGTATGCCCATAACCATGTCTCTGCCATAATAGTTGTTCATAAATCACAACATTGCCAATTAACCTTATGTTAACAAACATCTCATTTCAGACCTCCACTTTACTCACAGCGAGGCATGGAGATCTTATAATTACTTACCTGAAATTAACGAGTCACATTTAACGCCACCTGGGCGCCCATCTCGTAGGCTAAAACTCAACGTTTACAACACAAAAATGGCCGAATATGAATGGAAAATATACAAGAATTGTCAAATAAGCCTAACAGGCATGGCTCATATTAAAAATATAGTACACAATTTTGATTTCATAAAAGGAGAATTTTAAACACATAAACTTTTCACCACCAGGACCTCGTCCTTATATAACATCCACCGCAACTTGTAGTCCGGTTTAAAATATTTCACATTATATAAAAAATGTGAGGATCTCGTCGTCAACTCTGAATCACAAGTATTTGCACATTGTGCCAACTGAAATTTTTCATTTTCTTTCTTTCTTCTTTTAAATAATTTCCGTCAAACAAATCACAACATATAATGAACCCTCATACTGATAGGGCATATAATTCACAATTGAAATTAATTATCCTGAAATCACATCAAAATCCACTGTAGTAAGTAATAGAAAGTCACTTTTAGCCTCAAAGCTATTCTTAGTGACCAACACATAATGATAGAAATAGCTATCTCCATATAATAGCCCAACGTGAGTATTCACATAAGTAGATTTCAGGATTACGAAGCTCACTCATGAGTGGAGCATATTAAGGGGACTCGCCTAAATTTTCAGAACCAAATCAAATTAAGGAAAAATATCCTTTTTATAACAATCGGAATTGTACCTGTAATGACACCATCTGGTGTAGTGGCCTCAGCCACACCATAGCAATTATATCAATGGGTCGGGCCTCCACCTCTTAGGCTTCATCCACCCCCTCGTACTCCATATCTAACTTGTAGTGTATGTGGATTAGTAACTATAATGGAGTGTGTAGACGGAGCGTTCTGATGAAATAGATTTCTCCCAAGTCTGGGATAATTGTTTCCATGATGTTTCTAGTATCACCTTATTCATAACAATCCATCTGCAGTTCGACTGCTCATACTGAGTCTGTGCCGAATAACTAGAGTAACCATTGAAGGAATCCCACGCTAGTGGTGCATTAAAAGATGACTGCCCCATGAGAGTGCCCTGATCTACTGGAGTACTACGAGTATTCTAAAATTGTTTCCATGTCCCTACTGATACTGAAATGTAGAATTATTATGGACACAGGGCTACACCAGTGGTAGCGGTGACATCCCTTTTTGCTTTTTGGGTCGTGGTATTTTCTGTGTTTTTAGGGAAATTCTCGAAGATGTTGGAGACAAGTTGGGCGCACGAGCACTAGCAAAGGAGAGCAACCTGGACAACCGTCAGCAAAGGACGATGGGAAGCGATGCATGAGCATACAACTACGTCTAGTACTGCAGATCAACACATGTTTGGTTCTCGGGAATTGGTATCTCCCGTTCTACTATTTCCCTTTTTTGGTGTTAGCTGAATTGATGTTACTTTAGTTCACAATAGTTAAATCATTCAACTAGTGTACTGGTAGCCACTTGTTTCCTTCTAGTTTGATTCGTGTCCGTTGTGCACTAGCGAGTCTTCTTTAGATTTGCCATAGGTGTAGTGGCTGCAGTCTGGGATGATAGATTAAGGGCATGTCCTCGGGTAGGGCAGAGTGTGGGGCAGAGGGTAGGGCCGGGGGTCAGGGTGTGTATCAGGAGGCAGGGGAGGTAGAGGGGGCAAGGGAGCCTATAGGTTGAGAATCGGGTCATGGAACATAGGTTCGCTAACGAGTAAGTCTATAGAGTTGGCGAAGATCCTTCAGAAGAGGAAGATTAATTTAGCGTGTGTCCAGGAGACTAGGTGGGTCGGATCGAGGGCAAAAAACATGGATAGGTATAAGTTATGGTACTCTGGAGTCATGAGGGGTAAGAATAGAGTGGGTATCCTGGTAGATAGCCATCTTAGAGAGTCGGTGGTAGAGGTCAGGCGTGTGAATGATAGATTAATGACTATTAAATTGGTGGTGGGTGAGTTTACTTTAAATGTCGTTAGCACGTATGCGCCGCAAGTAGGCCTGGATGAGGAGATTAAAAGGCGCTTTTGGGAGGGGTTGGACGACATCGCTCGTAGTATTCCGCCTTCCGAGAAGTTATTCATAGGAGGAGATTTCAATGGTCATATTGGGTCGTCTGCAGGTGGTTATACTGAGGTGCATGGCGGCTTTGGTTTCGGGGAGCGAAACGGAGGGGGCACTTCGCAGTTGGACTTTGCCAAGGCATTTGATCTAGTGATTGCGAACTCAAGTTTTCCGAAGCGGGGGGAGAATTTGGTTACTTACCAAAGTTCGGTGGCGAAGACCTATGTAAGCACGTGATTTTTGCCCTATATGAATTACTCCCAGAGATTCAAACAAAATAATTTTCTTTCATTATTTGCAATTGCGTGAATTTTTGTGGCATTTTATGGCATTTTGTTTACACACTTTTATTCATAAAAAATACAAAAAAATGTATTTGACCTCTGCACTTAGGGTTTTAATTCTACATTTTAGGATTAATTATGAAAGTAATTATTTCATAAAATGGAAAATCAAAAAATTGTTGTTTAAGTTGCATTTTTAGTTTTTGATCTTGATATTAAATGGTGTTTCTTTTAAATTTGTTTTGTGATAATCATCATATGTGTTTAATTAGTTTTAGGATTAGTTGAATTTTAGGAATTAATTTCGATTTTTATTAATTTTGAAAAGGAAAAGAAAAGAGGGAATTAATTTGTTTTGAATTTGAAAAAGAAAAGAAAAGGAAAATAAATAAAAAGGAAAAAGGGGAATTAACCTGGTTTATGTTGTTTGGGCCAGATTTGCATTAGCCCAAATGAATCCCGTCCCAAAAGTCACAAACCCAGCCCAACGTTAACCCCCAGTCTGGTCCACTCCCCGTTTAAACGAAACGACGCCGTTTCCCTGAGTTTTGATCACAACCGTTGATTTTTCTTATCCAACGGATGGGAACTTCCTAGGTTACCTCATATAAATATGTCCTAACGCTACCCTACCCCCCTCCAGACCCCCCCTCCACCCTCTCATCTCTCTCGTTTCAGAGATATGTAACGCCACCGGCTCCGCCGCTCGCCGCCGGCCGGAAATCGTCTCCGCCGGCGGCCGCGTCCAAATCATCCCAAATTAATACCCATGGAACCTTCCTCAACCCCCCCTACCCCCCCCCCCCCCCCCGTTCCAAATATCCAAGTAATTTCCCTCAAACATCAACCAATCTCTTCGAATCCTAGTTCGAAATTTTCCGGCCAAAACTCAACCTTCTCCGTTCACCACCAAATTAACACCATGGAACCGCTTTGTCCTCCTCTATCAAACCCCCCAAACCTCGCCCCTCAAATCTGACCGGAACTCTTCGAATATCGATTTGAAGTTTCCAGTCAAAATCCTAAATTCCCAAACCTTGTCAAATTGATACCACATCATCACCTCGCCTCCCTCATGACGCTTCTACCATTGATGGTGTTCAAATATCACTAGAGTCACTAGAAATTTTGAATTGGAAGAATTAGCCGGATTTGTGGAGTTCAAAATCAGTGAGTTTCTATTTCACTTTTGCTTTGAGGGTTCTGTGTTGCTTCATGATTAGTTAAATAGCTATTTTCATTTTGTTATAAGTCCAAGTAATTAGTTAGGGTTTTTGTCTGCACTTTGGAATCAATAATTGAATCTGTTTTGCTCTGTGTTGATGTGTTCGTTTAATCAGTAGCATGAGCTTTTTCTTTTTAATTTTTTGTTGTGTTCGATTTTTCTGTTAGTAAAATTAGTTTAAGCATATTTTCTGTTGTTTATCCGTAATTAGTGTTCTAGGTCTGTAATTTTGATTAGTTTAGTTCGATTAAATACTTCTGCCTGTTTGATTTTCTTGTGTTTGCCAATGATGGGATTCTTCTTTTCATACTGATTTTGTTGTTGTTAATTGATTAGTTTGTTTGATGATAGTAGGTGGTAATCTGGAAATCAGTAGTTAGTTGGATTTAAGATTTGTGATTGGATTTGGTTGGCTGATTAATTTGCAGAATAGTTATTTGAACCACGGTTAGTTAGAAGGGTTAGGTCAGTTAACATAGGTTAATAATTTCAGGGTCAATGCAGGGGCAATAAAGGTAGTTTACTTAGGGAATATTGTAGTAACAATTGAATAGAATCCCCTAGAACATTCTAGATGGGGGTTCTATGGTAAAAATCAAGAATTAGATGTACTTGCNCTCGTACTCTTGTTCCCCGTCGGCTCCGCCTTGCGCCGACCGCCGGAAATCGCCTCACGGCGGCGGCCGGCGTCTAATCGACGCCCAAAATTACACCATTTCCTCCCCTCGCTCCCCTCTTCCCAAATCCAACCTTGTTTTCTTTCAAATCCCAACCAAAACCCCCAAATCTACCAAACCCTAGGCGCCGCCAGCACCGTGCACGGCGGCGCCGCCGTCCAAACCCTACCAAACTCACACCCCATACTCCCCTCACCCTCCTCTTTCTAAATCCCTAAACCTATTCCCTCAAATCCCCACCAAGCCACTCTAATCTGGGATTGAATAGGAGGCAGCAAAACCCTAAGCTCCTCAAACTCCGCTAAATTCACACCACGTGCTTTCTCGCTTCCCTCGTTCCCAATCTGTCATCAATGGCCTTCAAATTTCACCCAAGGTGCTCGAATTTCAAATCGCAGAAGCGGTAGAACCCTAGAGCTTCACAAGTGAGTTTTCTTTTGACTGTCTCTTCTTCACGAGTAATCAACTTAGGTTTTGTTTGCACTTTGAAATCAATAATTGAATATGTTTTGCTCTGTGTTAATGTGTTCGTTTAATCAGTAGCATGAACTTTTTCTTTTTAATTTTTTGTTGTGTTTGATTTTTCTGTTAGTAAAATTAGTTTAGGCATATTTTCTGTTGTTGATCCGTAATTAGTGTTCTAGGTCTGTAATTTTGATTAGTTTAGTTAAATACTTCTGCCTGTTTGGATTTTCTTGTGTTTGCCAATGATGGGATTCTTCTTTTCATACTGATTTTGTTGTTGCTAATTGATTATTTTGTTTGATTGTTAATAGATGATAGTAGGTGATAATCTGGAAATCAGTAGTTAGTTGGATTTAAGATTTGTGATTGGATTTGGTTGGCTGATTAATTTGCAGAATAGTTATTTGGACCACGGTTAGTTAGAAGGGTTAGGTCAGTTAACATAGGTTAATAATTTCAGGGTTAATGCAGGGGCAATAAAGGTAGTTTACTTAGGGAATATTGTAGTAACAACTGAATAGAATCCCCTAGAACATTCTAGATGGGGGTTCTATGGTAAAAATCAAGAATTAGATGTACTTGCTTGAGAAACAAGTCAATAAGTAAAGGATTATTTTTGAAAATAACCTAGGGACTAGAAGGCCAAACACAAAATCTGAGGGCTGCCCTCATTTTGCCTATAAAAAGACATGCCAATGCCTTAAGTCACAAGTTTTCAGCTCCAAAATTCCCCCCAAAAGTGCTCTGTAGTTTTCAGATCTGAATTTGAAATTCAACATTCAAAAAAATTAAAAAAAACCAGAAAACCTTCAAAAAATCAAAAAAAAAAATGTTCCATTGTTAAGCCTTATTTTAGTTTCAAGTTTTAGTTATGGATTCACATTTTCTAGTTTGATCTTTGGTTGCTGAAGTTCAGAGGTTCATTTCGAGTGATTTCGGGTCTAATTAAGATGGTTGTTGGTTGAGTTTTGCTCCGCTGAAGTTTCAGAAGTATTTTGAGTTCATTCTCGAGTCTATTTGGGTGCATTTGAGTGGGTTTTTGGTTGTATTAAGCTGGTTTTGGCTAGTTTCACTGGTGCTATTCTTCTTCTGTTCATTGCTGGGTAGCTATGTCCTTTTGAATTGAAAATTGAATCAGTTCTCTGGATTTCAACCGCTGTTCGTTTGTTTCTGCTGCTGACCTCTCCTTTTCTTATTTCATTTCAATTGCCAGGTACATACCTTGAGCCTCAATATCATGTGAATCCTCAGTTGAGAATGAATTGAAAGAGACACATAGTTTAATTCCCAGTTGTTCAATGTTTGGACTGTTTTTAATTTGTGTACTGTTGAACTTGTTTTTACGAGTATGTGAATTCCGTGGTCAGCAATATTGTCACGACCCCAAACCCGGTCGTGATGGCGCCCAACACTAATGCTAGGCAAGCCCGACCATTTACTCTCTCAACCCGAGCACAAAGCTCAAAACCAATTAATCAGATACTTAAAATCAAATATTAATACTCATAGTTGAAATACTCAATTAAAACAATACGAAATACTGACATAAACTGTAACTCCCAAAGACCTGGGGTCATGAGTCTAGAGCCTCTAACTAATACAGAGTCAAGAATCCTCAAAATAAGTATGTTCTAAAGTACGGAAATAATAAAGGGATAAGGGAGGAGTCGGGTCCTGCGGACGTCATAGCAGCTACCTCGACCACTCCTGGAACTCTGGAAACCAGCGGCTAGCTCAACTAAGCTCCCGAAGTACCTGAATCTGCACACAAGGTGCAGGGAGTATGGGGTGAGTACTACCAACTCAGTGAGTAATAAGCATATGAAATGTCTGAAGATAAGAAATCCACGAGATGCCACAAAGTAAAGCTAAAACTAACAGTCCAACACCTAACTACGAACCAACAGCAAAACAACTTCAAATATATCAGTCAAGTATAATGTAAGGATGCAATGCAATGCACATGACCGCTACGGCGCGTAGCCCGATCCATTTAACGTCGACGACGCTCACTGGGGGTGTGTACAGACTCCGGAGGGGCTCCTACAGCCCAAGCGCAATATCATCATATCATTCGCTGCGGCGTGCAGCCCGATCCATACTCAGTCCACAATATGCATATGAGTCACGTAACAGATTCAATTAATTTCCCAATTTCCAATTTATTAAGAAGAATATACTTTAGATATTTAACTTCAGGAAAAGTGACTTAGCATTTCATAACAGTGATTAAACACACGACTGAGATCAATGATTACACAAAGCATATTATCACAATGACATTCATCATCTAAGGATGCTACAGATCGGCACAAGGCCCCAAACACGGCAATAAGCCCAGATATATTCAATACAGGGTGCGTATCAGTCGCCAATATAGAAACATTCTTGTTCGGGATGGACCAAGTCACAATCCCCAGTCATAACCAATCCCGCACCTGCCATGGGGTGCGAGTCACGCCCTACAATAGCATCACAATGTGATAAGCCGGGGTTTCAAACCCTCAGGCCATCATACACCAACTACTCACCTCTAACCGGCCGTAGACTGGTCCGCAATGCCTTTTCCCTTTGTATCGACCTCCT